GGGTAAGATTATCCGCGATGATTGACAAAATTATCCGCGAAGATAGATAAAATTATCCACTCTGGTGGATAAAATTATCCACGCTGGTGCATAAAATTACCCCCGCTGGTGGATAATATTATCCACGCTGGTGGATAAAATTATCCGCTCTGGTGGATAGAATTATCAACGTTGGTGGATAAAATTATCCTCGTCTCTGAATAAAATTATCCACGCTGATGGATAAAATTATCCACGCTGGTGGATAAAATTATCCGCTCTGGTGGATAAAATGATCCACGTTGGTGGATAAAATTATGCACATTTGTAGATAAAATTTTCCGTCTTGGTGAATAAAAATATCCGCACTTGGGGATAAAATTATCCACGTCTGTGGACAACATTATCCACGTTTGTGGATAAAATTATCCACATGGGTGGATAAAATTATCCACATTCTTGGATAAAGTTTTCCACATTGGTGAATAAAATTATCCACTCTGGTGGATAAAATTATCCACTCTGTTGGATAAAATTATCCACACTAGTGGATAAAATTATCCACGTTGGTGGATAAAATTATCCACGTTGGTGGATAAAATTATCCACGTTGGTGGATAAAATTATCCACGTTTGTGGATGAAATTATACGCTCTGGTGGATAAAATTATCCGCTCTGGTGGATAAAATTATCCGCTCTGGTAGATAAAATTATCCACGTTTGTGGATAAAATTATCAACGTTTGTGGATAAAATTATCCACGCTTGTTGATAAAATTGTCTTCGTTGGTTCATAAAATGGATAAAATTATCGACGTTGGTGGATAAATATAAACACGTTGTTGGATAAAATTATCCATTTTCTGGATAAAGTTATCCACGTTGGTGGATAAAATTATCCACGTTTGTGGAAAGAATTATCCGTGAATTTATTTAAAAAAAAAAAATAAAATATTTTTCATTCCCTTCCTGATGAGTGCCATGTAATTCAGTTTTCCCATCCCTGAATTGACCAGTCTATCTTGTAATAGAATTGCTCTAGCCTTGAGCAATAAACGAATAACTGGACGACCAGACATACCCATCATCATCATCCATGTCCAGTTTCTGTTCTTGCTTGCCATTTGTATTTGTCCATTGTTGTTGTTGGTTTTGCTTCTTCTTCTTTCATTTGTTGTAAATTGTTTAAATTGTTATGATGCACTTTACGAAATTAGTTTAATGTCCAACTATGGCTGGTTTTATTTATTATATAGCATGTTTTGATGTATTGGTGAGTGTATGTGTGTGTTTGTGGGAGTAGGAGTAGGAGTTTTCTTGTTGATTTTGCATAAATTGATTGGATAAACGGATAAATTGGAGAGATGACAAGAAGAGTGGGGAAGGAATCCCCTCACAAGGACCGATGAATAAAATTTAAAGGAAAATTGCTTTTGGATTGGATTTTTGGATTTTTTTTAATTTTCATTATTATTTATTTTTTTATTTATGTTTTATTTTTTTATTTATTTATTATTATTTATTTTTTTATTTTGTTTATTTTTTTATTTTTTTTATTTAGTTTATTTATTTTTTTATTTTTATTTATTTATTTTATTTTTTTAGTTATTTATTTATTTATTTATTTTTTTTTTTTTGTAAAATTTTGTAGAAGATATATTTAATCTCATAATTGTGCAAATTTTTCTCAATATATCTCCTTTCCTATTTATTTCGATTTTTTTATATTATCAGAAAAAAATGTTGAAAAAACTTTCTCACATTTTCCCAATCCGTATCCCTCCAAATTTCCCAGCCACAACGAAATGAAAAGTACAATGCATAATTGATTCGATACAACTTTCATTCAATTGACTTGAGTTTTCCCAACATTGTTTGACATTTTACCAAATTTTCCAAGCCAAACCTTAGCTTACATGGCTGCATACATTGTTGTTGGTGGTCTTTGTTGTTGTCGGTTAGATAATTAAAATTTGTCTTAGATCCCCCCCACACCTCCGGCATAAGGATTTGGCAAAAAAGTTATGTTTGACTTTTACCACAAATAATTTATTTATATATCCCTCGGATAAGTTCCGTTGTTGTTGTTTGGTTTCTTGGAAAATTAAACATTTACAAAGACGAATTCTGAAATTTATCCTTTTGTTCCAGAGTTCGAAAGTTCTACGAAGAGAGTGAGAGAGGGGAAAGCAAATGTTTTCCTGCCAACAAAGATGTCAGAACAAAGTTGGTTGTTCTTTGTTTTGAACTTCTACTTCCTTGCCTTTACCTCTTTGCCATAATTTAATTACTTTTAGTTGCGGAACCTTTGTTGTCGTTGGTGTTTGACAAACATGGCAATGGAGCCAGGCTACAATCGTGGTCCTTTATCCTTGAAAAACCCTTTAATCTCTCTTGGGGGCTTTTCTTTTCAGATGTATTTTCCTTTTTTCCGAATCATGTCTTAAGGTTTCTCATAACGTGAGGGGTACTTTTGACTCTTTCTCTTGACACGTGTTGTAATAAAAGGCGAGATGAAAAAACTGCAACCAACTTCAGACTGCTGTCATTTCTTAGCCACTCGTCCGACAGCTGTTAAAATTATTCCAGTGACAGCTCATTATATTCTTTAGAAGCGTACAAAAGCATTTTGGTGAGAATTTTTCAGACGAAAAAGTTATTCGTGGTGGAATTCAAGCGTGGTAGTGGGATTTCTTTATATTTGGCTGGAGAACCACAAATGGCTAGCCTTAGAGCACGCCAGCATTTAAATGTGAATAAATCTTTTGCGCCTCGTACCATCCATCGCTCGCTACCGTGATACTGGTAGCGTAGCCCGACGTCAAGGAAGTGGACGAAAGAAAACAGCAAAATCAGCAGAAATTGTTCGAAAAGTAGAGAAGCGACTTGATCGAAGCGAAACTCGAGTCGCAGTGGCCGAAAAATTATTCGTGAGCTGAACATATCGCAATATTCCATTCGGCAAATATTGAAAAACGAGCTCGGGGTAAAGCCATTGAATTAAAAAAGACTGTTGCAGTCTTTTTTTATCTCACCCTGTATTGACCTTTCAAATAAAAAATCCACAAACCAATGGCTCTCTAAGAAATCTCCAATGGGAAACACACACTTTATAAAGTCCTTAGCCTCTCAGCCAAATCAGGTTTTGAATCTGCTCCTAATATACGGAGGAGGTTAAAATGGTTTTAAGGAGGTAAGAAACAAAATATGCCCCTAAAGGATGAATAGGTATTTAAAATCGCCTTGAACTGAACTTTGAAGGCCCTAATTCGTGCCAAATGTGACCAATTCGAACAAATCTAAACTTATTCTAAAATTTGATGATATTTCCAATTTTTTTTGCCTTCATTCAATAAAATTTAAAAAAATGGAAAAAATTATTGCATTTGATTTTGTTGCAGTTTTTTTTATCTCACCCTGTATTTACTATTTTCCAAAAGATGCATAAGAAACTTAAAGCGGATAAATTTACTAACAACGATAATTTTGTGCGCACCAACTTATTCACCAAAATGCATAATTTTTATCCGCCAACTTGGATAATATCTTCTGCCAATGTGGATAATTTTATCCACCCACGCGGATAACTTTAATCACCAAAGTGGATAATTTTATCATCCAACCGTGGATAATTTTATCCACAAACTTGGATAATTTTATCCACAACCGTAGATAATTTTATCTACAAATGTGGATAATTTTATCCCCAAACGTGGATAGTTTTATCCACAAAACTGGATAATTTTATCCACAAACCTGAATAATTTTATCCACAAATGTGGATAAGTTTATCCACAAACCTGGATAACTTTATCCACAAATGTGAATAATTTTATCCACCAACGTGGATAATTTTATCCACAAACCTGGATAATTTTATCCACAAATGTGGATAATTTTATCCGCAAATGTGGATAATTTTATCACCAATGTGGATAATTTTGTCCACAAACCTGTATAATTTTATCCACAAACGTGGATAATTTTATCCACAAACCTGGATAATTTTATCCACCGACGTGGATAATTTTACCCACAAATGAGGATAGTTTTATCCGCAAACCTGGATAATTTTATCCACCTACGGTGATAATTTATCCACCGACGTGGATAATTTTATCCACAAATGTGGATAATTTTATCCACAACCGTGGAACATTTTATACACAAATGTGGATCATTTTATCCACAAACGTCGATAATTTTATCCATCAATATGGATAATTTTATCCATCAATATGGATAATTTTATCCACCGACGGTGATAATTTTATCCACCGACGTGGATAATTTTATCCACCAACGTGTATAATTTTATCCACAAATGAGGATGATTTTATCCACAAACGTGAATAATTTTATCCACAAACCTGGATAATTTTATCCATCAAAATTGATAAATTTATCCACCAACGGTGATAATTTTATCCACCGACGTGGATAATTTTATCCACCAACGTGGATAATTTTATCCACAAACGTGGATAATTTTATCCCCAAACACGGATAATTTCATCCACAAACTTGGATAATTTTATCCCCAAACACGGATAATTTCATCCACAAACTTGGATAATTTTATCTCCAAACGTGGATAATTTTATCCACAAATGTGGATAATTTTATCCACAAATGTGGATAATTTTATCCCCAAACGTGGATAATTATATCCACAAGCGTGGATAATTTTATCCACAAATGAGGATAATTTTATCCACACACCTGGATAATTTTATCCACCGACATGGATAATTTTATCCACCGACGTGGATAATTTTATCCACAAACTTGGATAACTTTATCCACAAACGTGGATAATTTTATCCATAAACCTGGGTAATTTTATCCACAAACGTGGATAATTTTATCCAAAAATATGGATAATCTTATCCATCGAAATCGATCATTTTACCCATCATTCTTTATTCCGGAATAAATTTAGCATATTTTATTTTCAATATTAGATTTAAAATATTTTCCATATGTCTCTAATTTTCTCCATTTCTCTTCTACCTTTGCAGTCAATTCACCTCCCCGCATCATAAAACAGCCACCCACAGATGAGCTGCTCTTCAAAGTGGCCCAGGCGACAAAGGAAAGTGACAAACCGTTTATCATCGAATGTGAGGCTGAAGGAACACCAGATCCAACGTAAGTACAACTACCACAACAACAAATATATGGTAGGGGAAAACTATGAAATTTCCCGGAAAAATATTTTCGAACTAGGCTAGATTTTCCTCCAATTTAAAATGCAATTAATATTACTTAAGACAAAATAAGAGGACATGTATTTGCGTGACCCAAAGAATCTCTGATGTGCCTCCCCCAACACCTCAATTTTGGCCAAATCCATTTGGATTTGGGGAGTAGAAGGTGATAATTTAAAGAAAGCATTTCTCCCACAGTGTCACTTGAAACTTTCTAAAAAAAAAAAAAACGAAAAACAAAAAAAAACCGGCGACATCAAATTAATTTGGGTTAAAAAGCTTGACAGCCAAACATTCAGTCCGCCCGACCAAGAAAACATTTCGAGACAGAAATAACATTTTGTTGTTGTTGAACATTGTGCCATGGCAATCTGTTGGTGTCGCCGTCGCCATCACCATTGTCGTTTTGCATTGTGTTCCCCCAATGAAGAAGAAGGTGTGATGTGCAACAGCAGCACCCGAAACGAGGTGTCGATGATGGCGCTTTAATTTTTTTTGTCGAATGTGTGCCCCATTCATTCACTCACTTAGAGAGTGAGAGAAACACTATTTTTAGTCGATGTCGATAATGAGGAAAGTGTTTGTTCACATTTGGCGGTGTTGTTGTTTTTGCTCCCAATTTTGTGTCGGAAAATTGAGTGAAGTTTTGTTTTTAGCCGATTTGTTGTAATGATTTAGAATCCAATTGGAATTGGGTCAGGAATGTGTCTTATTTTCAATGGTAAATGGGGAGAAGTCCAAAGTTTGAGAATGTGGATTTTGAAATCAATTACGCGTTATTTTTAAAAAAAGAGACCAATAGGTCTGGCTATAAGGACCAAAACAAAAACATATATAGGTTTTTCAGTAGAGGACAAAGTGGTATAGAAATAGAAGACAGAAAACCACCGACAAATTTTTTCCTAGAAGAATATTAAGCTTTCTAATAAAAGATCAATTAACCAATGGCTCCCTAAAGGAGTACCTAGTAGGAAACACTATATATAAAGTCCTTAGCCTCTCAGCCGAAACAGATTCTGATCCTGATCCTAATATAAGGAGACGGTTAAACTCGTTTTGAGGAGGTAAGAAACCAAATTTGCTCTGTAAAGACGAAACTGTATATAAAATCGCCTTAAACTGTTGTCTACTTTTCGTGGGAAGCTTAGCGGATAATATTCGAGATTAGCTTCAAAATTAATTTAATTCAAAATAAATTTAATCTATATACAATCCTAGAGCCCTAAATAACCATCAGTGTCTTCAATATCAAATTTCAGAATTTCAGCTCTATCCCTTCACCCAATACCAAATTTATAACACCACCACCAGACACCAAAAGAGACCTCAATATGAATTTTCGGGATTCCTGATCTAGACATTTACCCAATACCAAATTTAGTAACGTTTAGTACTTTTCGTATAATGTTAGTACTCATTTGCAAAGTCGTTCCATATCTCAATCATAGACACCAGCGGTTATCGCAGTATACCGAATTTTGTACAATTATCAATTATCAAATTTCGTACAAAAATCACCTTCATAGGTCATAGGCTACACATAAACACCGGCCCTTATTCCAAATTTCCAGAATCTAGGCCTTTCGGTAAACACAAATCAAAATTGCACCAAATTTCGTACATATAAGTACGAAAACGTCTTACATACCCCAATCCTACTCTCCAAATTTCCAAAACTACCTTCACAACTCAGTCATAGAATCCCATAGAAATCTCGTTTCGAAATTTTATAATTCTAGCACTATGGGTTCACCTATATCCGAATTGTTCCAAATTTAGTACCATGTAGTACACATAAGTACGAATTTCTAAAGATACCTACATGGCCTAATCCTACACTCCGACAGTAATCCCAATTTTCAGGATTCCAGCCCTATCGGTCCACCCATTCCCAATTTGTACCAAATCTAGTGCCATTTAGTACACATAAGTACAAATTTCCAAAACTACCTATATACCTCAGTCGTACAACGCAATAGTAATTTTATTGCCAAATTTCAGCATTTCAGCTCTATCAGTTCACACAAATCGAAATTGTAACAAATTTTGTACCATTTTAGTACTTGTTTCGAAAACTTCTCCCATATCCCAATGCTACATTCGCCGGTAATATTCATTTGTATTTTCAAGATTCCCGCTGTATCCGTTCCACCAAATTCAAATTCTACAAAATTTAGTACGATTTAGTACACATAAGTACGAGTTTCCAAAATCACATCCACATCCCAATCCTACACACCGACAGTAATCTTATTTACAAATTTAAGCATTCTAGCTGTATCAGTTCAGCCAAATCGAAATTGTATCAAATTTAGTACCATCTAGTAATTTTCCTGCACATAAGTATAAATTTCGAAAAATATATCCATATCCCAATCTTACACTCTGCCAGTGATGTTAATTTTAATTTTCAGGATTCCAGCTCCATCCGTTCCTCCAATTTCGAATTGTACCAAATTTAGTACCGTTTAGGACTTTTTGTACACATGCCAAAACTACCTTCTTACATCGATCATACCTCCCAAACTTGATTCCCATACTCAATTCCATGTTTTTAGCTTTGACCATTCGCATGGTACGAAATGGTACAAAATGTTATACATTTTAGTACTTTTCGTACTCCTATAGTATAATGTAGTATATAGCGAATTTTCAAAAACACTTGAAAAATTCTAGCTCTAATGATTCGTCAAATATAAAGTGTGCGGTATCTAGCACCTTTAAATAATTTTCGTACGTATTCCCAAAAACCCAGCCTTCACTGACACTTTTGGATCAAGAGTGACCTTCACCCAAAATTTCAAGATTCTAGCTTCTGTTTTTAGCTTCATCTGGGCATTGAAGATCCATTAAGTCAGCCAGTGAATCACTTTACTCATTTATTATTATTGATATATAAGAGTAGTGAAATATCTGACAATCTCAGGATCGTACGAAAAGTACTAAAATGTACTAAAACTTGAATATCTTGTATTAGACAACGGAAATGTGTTTTTTCGGGGAAATGGGTTTTTCGAAATTGGAACCATTAAAGCAAACGGTAAGATTTTCAATGTACTTGGACAGATCTGCTTTAAAAATATTGCTTATTTAAAAAAAAATAATTTATAAGTCCATGAGGGAAAAATTCTCCACGACCATGTCATCGACTGTTAATTTCAATGAAATCAAATTCTTGAAAATAAATGAAATGTGAAAATAGTTTAAAAGCAACAATTTATTAGGTTTTTTCCAATATTGAATCACGCCAACCGGCAACCGACAAGGCGTCAACAGTATTTTCGTGATTTCATAGACATGTGTAGTTGTTGTTGCTGCTATTTTTTTTTTTGCTACAATATTTTGTAAGCAAAACAAAGAATTGTTTTCACTCTCACAGCGAGGAAAGAAAAATTGACGCCAACATTTGTCTGAGTGGGATTAGTTTGTTGTAAAAAAATGAGATCATCTTTTACAAAATAAAAAAAATAGAGGTTATAATGAATAGAAAATAAAGGGTGGAATTAAGAAGGAAAAAAAAAGATTATTTTTAAAAAAAAAAAAAAAAAACTGTTAAGAAGTATCAGTCGGTTTTGCCAGCAGATGTACAGGGTGAGATATAAAAACTGCAAAAAAAAAATCAAACGCCATAATTTTTAAATTTTTTTCTTAAATTTTATTGAATGAAAACAAAAAATGTCGGAAATAGCATCAAATTTTAAAATGAATTTAGATTTGTTCGATTTGGCCAACTTTGGCACAAATTATGGCTTTCAAACGGCCAATGAAACCGTCACACAGCGCTTGTTTGAAGTGATCGACACTTTGGTATTTTTTAGTGCCAACCTTGCTTTTCAAAATACCCCGGACACAATAGTCCAACGGATTGGCATCCGGAGATTTTGGGTAGCCATTATGCACTGTAAATGAAGCGAGGAACCTCATTTTGTAACCATTCTTGGGTGGTTTGAAGGCGATGGTGCTGAATACTGAGTGCGATGGTGCTGAATACTGTTGGAATGTCCAAGGTCTGCGGCCAAAATGTTTGCGTGGGCTTTAATACACCCTCCAGAATATTTTCGGGATAATATTCGGCATTTATTCTGATGCCTTGGGCGATTAATACGAGCGGACAGCGACCATCTGCTGTAATGGCGGCCCACACCATCACCATGGCCGGCGCTTGAGTTTTGGTGGCCAACCGAAGGTGCACATTTTCAGCTGACCAAGGTCTGCGGCCAAAATGTTTGCGTGGGCTTTAATACACCCTCCAGAATATTTTCGGGATAATATTCGGCATTTATTCTGATGCCATGGTCGATTAATACGAGCGGATAGCGACCATCAGCTGTTATGGCGGCCCACACCACACCATCACCATGGCCGGCGCTTGAGTTCTGGTGGCCAACCGAAGGTGCACATTTTCAGCTGACCCCTTTGGCAAGTAAAAACGATCATTTTTTTGTTCACAAACTGCTGGACAACGAATGTTTTCTCATCGGAGCGGAGAAAACGAAATTCGGCAGTTCACCACTTTCGGCCAAGCGAAGCAACTCTAGCTCTTTTGATTCTAATTTCTTTCTGTTGCGGTGTAAGTTCTTGCAATTTTTGACATTTCAATGGCTTTACCCTGAGCTCATTTTTCAATATTTGCCGAATGGGATATTGCGATATGTTCAGCTCACGAGCCTTTTTTGCGGCCACTGCGACGCGGGCTTCGATCAAGTCGCTTCTTTACTTTTCGAACAATTTCTGCTGATGTTGCTGTTTTCTTTCGTCTACTTCCTTGACTTCCTTGTCGGGCTTCACTACCAGTGTCAGTACCACGGTAACGCGGTAACAAGCGATGGTACGAGACACAAAAGATTTATTCACATTTAAATGCTGGAGTGCTCTAACATTAGCCTCTTGTGGTTTCCCAGGCAAATATAAAGAAATCACACTATCACGCTTGTATTCCAA